GCCTTCTCTCTCTCTCTCTCTCTCTCTCTCTCTCTCTCTCTCTCTCTCTCTCTTCCCCACCCACATACACACATAAACAGAAGTAGAGTCAAGAAATTAGGAAAGTTGAGCGTACAACAAACGCATTGGTAGGTCATGCATCAGCACACTCTAAAGTCCAAAACCAATCATAGTCTAGTATGATCGGCCCTAATCACATGTGCCACTACAGCTCGATCGTGTTGGCCTAGATTTAAAACTAGCGTTACCGACAGCGGGGGTTAGAAATAGCCGCCCCAACAGATTACTGTCTACGTTTACTGCTCACATAGTACATTACAACGTGTTGCCTCCATTGACTGGCTACAGTTCCTGTGTTTTTCCATTCATAAATTAATACATTACCCCTCCGCTTGTCACACGTACCGTCACCGAGCGAACACCCTGCCCACACCCATCCCCAGTCGACCGACCGACGCCCCTTACGGGGTGCCCACTACGGCTGGATCGGGCCGATCGCCCGACTCGATCGCCTGAAACTGAAAACAAAAACGTTGCCTAGCCCCCACCCCCTTTAAATCACGCAGCATCTCAATGGCTGAACGACTGACTAGCCTACCTAACACTATACTATAACCTTTCATCCTAGGCTTAAAGACTCCCATCTATTCATAGCACCATCAGTGACCTAGGAACTGAGTTCAAGCTATAGGCCTATATAGGAACAACTCTGAACCGATTCACTGAGTTGCGAGCAGGCCTGCTCGCACCCACCGCACTAAATATAATGTCAACTCCTGAATCGATTCTCTGAGTTGCGAGCAGGAAAGTGAGTTGCTCTGGGGTGAATCTCCGGTGTTACCGCTCGCTGCTCGCTGACAGGTTTTTGACTTACAATTTACAATTCTACTTCTGCTCATAGAAAGGTTTGCTGTATTTTGTCTTGGCATCATAAATTGCCGTGGGCTCAATACATTTTAACAACTAAGATTCAGATTCATAGTCGAAATTCTTTGTTGCAACTCTGAATCACTGAATTGCACTGAGTAGAACTGAGTTGCTCAAGTGAGTTAGAAATTGATTCCGGGAAGTGAGAGTTGCGAGCAGTGAATG